CAGCATCCTTCTTGTCACCACGGCCATGGATGCTGGCTCCTGTCTTACCTGCCCAACCAGGAGCCTCTCCACCACAAGCGGGACTAGAACCCAGCCTCCCGACTTTCCACCTCCAGTAGAGCTGACACAGCACCTTATCCACTGCAGGTACTCAAGACAGATCTTGAGCAAAACCTGTTTGTCCTTCACCTGTCCTCACACCTGATAAGATGGACGACAGTCAATATTTATTGTCATCCTACTCTGTTACTTCTATTGGGCGTGGCTCCGTGGTGAGTGCTGTCGCAGGGATACTGGTGATGTCATTTAGTTCACGTGTCATTGTGTCCATGTCGTGGGAAAGGCAGAGTGCCTTGAAGACAGGGATCATGGCTGTCCTGTCCACCTGCAGCCGCCCAAGCTCCCGGCACGAAAGAAGTGCTCGATAATCAGTGAACGACTGAGTGAAGGAAAGTCTATTCCAATTTCCAACACATATGACAAATTATAAAAACTAAGACAAATGAAAGTGTAATATGTACAGACACGGAAGCACCGAAATTAGTCTCACCTGTTGGACACAACTGAATTTGAAGACCTGTCCTAATGCGTGACCTCAAAATCTTTTCATGTCCTGGCACCTTAAAATGTAAAGTTTTCTGTTTTCCAACGGCCAGAGCCTTGGAGCAGATCTGGGGGATACAACACACTCACTGAAACAGGGACACTGGGCGGCGGTAGAGGTGGGGCAGCACGCCTGAGAGCTACAGACAAGGGCTGGGGAGGGACCAGAGAAGTTTGAAAATGCTCCACAAATGACTGATGCACACGCTGGGCTCAGGGTGAGATGCGGCCATACTGACGCTGAGCAGAAGAGGAACGAGGGCCTGGTGGAGCCCAGCAGCCCGGCTCGGGGGCTCAGTGTCACTACGCGCTGGGCCCTGCTGGGAGACGTCCCACTCTATCGTAGATATTTATTCTCATCCCAGAGTCACCAATGCTAAACCACACTTTCCACAGGGGTTCAATTTAATAGAGGAATCAGGTAAGAAACGAATTACTGTAAGTTCCTAGCCTCTCTGCATCCCCCCACTCCCCTCCCCACTTTCCCCGCAAAAAGAAATGCTAGTTTCTGGGAAAGAAAAAAAAAAAAGGTATGTGTGGTTTTTTTAAATTTTATTTAAATTTTATTTATTTATTTTTGTCTGCCTTGGGTCTTCGTTGCTGCCCACGGGCTTTCTCTAGTTGCAGCGAGCAGGGGCTACTCTTCATTGCGGTGCGTGGGCTTCTCATTGCGGTGGCTTCTCTTGTTGCAGGGCACAGGCACTAGGCTCGCAGGCTCAGCAGTTGTGGCTCGCGGGCTCTAGAGAGCAGGATCAATAGTTGTGGCGCACGGGCTTAGTTGCTCCGCGGCACGTGGGATCTTCCCGGACCAGGGCTTGAACCTGTGTCCCCTGCATTGGCAGGCGGATTCTTAACCACTGCGCCACCAGGGAAGCCCCTCAAAAATGAGTATGTTAACAGAATCTCAGGCTTGGACAGCAATGCTGATGGCTGCCTGGGCTGCGCCTCCCCATCCTATGCATTGTTCCTTCCACAAGGACCCCACGATTCACATAACCTTATGGAACACTTTCGGTAAGGCGCGCTCACCCTCACTCAGCCGGCTATGCCGGCGTCCACAGCTCGGGCTGATCTACTGGCTGTGAGCAGCCTCATGGGTCCTCAGGGGTCCCACAGCCCTTTCTCGTGAAGGTCCGGACAGGCTAGAAGTCCCCACTGCCCACATGTCACAGCACATCCCAGGGACCGGACTGGTCTGTGATGAAGCCCTAAGCAGATTGTAACAGAGGCCAGAGGAGAGGCCTCACCAAGGCCCTGACGGTGGCCTCTTAACCATGCCACTCAGCTGTGGAGGAAGTGGCAGAGATCTCCAAACTGTCATCAAGACAACCGAAGTCCAAATAGAAATCTCTCAGGGATTCCATTCGGAAGCAGTTTTTAAGTGTACACACCCAGAGGAAATAATAAAAGACAAGAAATATCCTTCCCTCCTTCTCTCCCTCCCCCCTCCCCCTCCTCGCCCTGCCCC